CTGGCCTGATAGAATGAGTTTGGGAGAGTTACCTCAATCTCAAGTTTTTGATAGCTTGAGAAGAATTTAGTGTTAATTTCTTCCTTGAAATTTAGTAGAATTCAGCAGTGAAACTATGTTCCTAGGATTTTCTTTGTTGAGATAGGTTTTATCACTGATTCATTTTATTATGTGTCAGGTAAAAGGCTGAAGACCAAGACCAGACCAGGCCACAACAAGCCTTTATTAGGGGAATAGATCTGCAGGGCTGTCTCTGAACAAAGGAGAGACAGAAGCAATATGGCCGGGGCAGGGAGAGTCTTTCATAGAGACTGGGGTGGGGTTTGTAGGGGCTGAGGTGGGGTTGAGTGAGGTAGTGACTAGGGAATGGAGGAGCCGGTGACGTCATTAGGTGGTAGGAGGTGAGCGAGTATTAGGTTACTCTCTAGGCGGGAACAGGGGCATGCTGGGAAGAAGGGTTTGTTCTTTGGTGGGAGCAACCATCTTGGCATGATGTCACACAGGGGAGGGGGCAAGGCACCATAGGAAGAGGGCAGCTACTATACATAATAGCTGCCGAGGTGGTGGGAGACCTATCATTATGCATGAATGGTCTATTCAGGTTTTGCACATCTTCATGGTTCCATTTTGGCAGGTTATTTGTACACAGAAATTTATCCATTTCTTCTAGGTTTTCCAATTTATTAGTACATAGCTGCCCCTAATAGTCCTTAATGGCCATTTGTATTTCTGTGCTATCAGGTATAATGTTTCTTTTGCATCTTTGATTTTATGTACTGAAGTCTTCTCTTTCTTTCTCCTTGGTTAGTCTAGCTAATTTTTTTTTTGGTACCGGGGATCGAACTTGGGTCCTTGTGCTTGCAAGGCAGGCTGCAGAACCACTGAGCTAAATCTCCGGCCCTATCTAGCTAATTTTTGTTTGTTTCCTCACTTCTCATTTTCTCATTGTTTTGCAGTACTAGGTACTGAACGCGGGGACTTTATACTGTAGTGCACACACAGCCTTTTTTAAATTTTGAGGCAAGGTCTTGCTAAGTTGCTCAATCGGGGATAGAACTTCCAATTTTGCCTCAGCCCCTTAGAGTGCTGGGATTACAGGTGTGGGCCACTGTACCTGACTAAATTAAAAATTTTTTTGTTAATCTTAAAAAAAATAAACCTTCATTTCATTGACTTTTGTTTGCTTTCCCCTCTATTTCATTTATTTCTGCTCTGATCTTTAACATTTCTTTCCTTATAGTGATTTGGATTTGCATTGTTCTCACTTTTCTAAGTCCTCAGAGATGCATAGGTTACTTGTAATCTTCCTAGTTTTTTTTTGTTTTTTTTTTTAGGTAGGTGCTTATTGCTACTAACTTCCCCCCTTAATTTTACCTTTGCTCTGTCTCCTAAGTTTTGGCATGTTGTGTTCTCATTTGCATCTTTTTTGAAAAACTTACGGAGCTACTGTGAATAGGACTATTTTCCTGACTTCTTTCTCAGTGGGTTCATTGTTGAGGTATAGAATGCTACTGATTCTTTATCTTGTATCCTGCCACTTTGTTGAATTTATTTATTAGCTTAAAGGGTCTTTTGATAGTGTTTTTTGGATCTTCTATGTAAAGGATCATGTTATCTACAAATAAAGATAGTCTGACTTCCTTTCCTTTTCAAATCCCTTTTATTCCTTTCTCTTGCTGATTGCTCTGGTTAAAGTTCAAGTACTATGTGGAACAGAAGTGGTGAGAGCCCACACCCTTGTCTTATTCCTGCATTTAGAGAGAAGGCTTCAGTTTTTTCCCATTTAGTGTAATGTTGGGAATGGCTTTGTCATAAACAGATGCCATCAACTTTCTCTTTTGATTTCAACAAAATCAGGAAAGATGAATGCTATGATTTTGATGGTTTTGAATTTTGTGGCTTATTACACGGAGAATTCCCATGTGCCGATGAGAAGAACATGAATTCTACAGCTATTGGATAAAATGTTCTTTTCAAAAGGGCCTCTTAGGTCCATTTGCTCTACAGTGTAGTTTAACTCTGATGTTTCTTTGTTGATTTCTTGTCTAGACTACCTGCCTATTGATGAAAGTGGAGTGTGGAAGTCTCCTACTGTTATTATTTTGGAACCTATGTTTTTCTTTAGATTTACTAATACTTGTTTTATAAAAGTGGTTGCTCCAGCATTAGGTACACATACATTTACAATTGTTACATATTCTTATGGAATTGATTTCGTGACCATTATGTGGTGGCTTCTTTGTATCTTTTTATAATTTCTGACTTAGAGTTTATCTTCTGATATAAATATAGCTACTTCTGCTTATCACTGGTTTCCATTTGGATAGAATATCTTTTACCATCTATTCCTTTCTCTGCCCAGGTTTCAATGTATTGTGCTGTTATCATTCAAGTCAAAATATTTTAGTTTATTTAATTGGATAAATAAAATTTATATTTCTTTTTGTATTAACCCATGATTTTTTAGAAGATATTTATAAATTTGGGAGTTTTCCAGATATCATTGTCTTTTGATTTCTTGTTTAATTTTCTTCTGTTCTCATACACAAAACTGTATGAGTTTTATTGTTTGCATTTTTTTTTTTTTTGGTCCGGCATTTTGTCTATTTTAATCTATCTTCAATATGACGTAAACAGATTATGTGCAAAGCTAACACCCTAAATCTATTAAAATGACTAAAATTAACAAAGTCTGATCAGAGTTATCATAACCACTTCTGAAGAAAGACTGGCCATTAAAGAAATGGAAGTGTGCCTCTACTATCCGGGCACCAGCCCTGGTATTCTCTTCTTTCCGCGGATTCGCAGAGGAATAATGAACCCTCTGTTTTCAAGGGTGAAACTGTCTATTCTTCCTTTTATCACTGTCAATTTTGCTTTGTGTATTTTTGAGCTCTATTATTGGGGACATATACACGTATTACTCTTATTTTCTTGCTACCTTGACCCTTTATTATTATTAAATGGTCCTTTATTCTGTAATAATATTCCCTGTCTGAAAGTCTACTTTGCCTACTATTGACAGGTGCCCTAGATTTCTTATGCTCATCACATTCATGGTAGCTTTTCTACTCCGTCATTTTTTTTCTTTTTTTCTGGTACCAGGGATCAAACTCAGGACCTTGCACTTGCGAGGCAGGAAGCAGAAGCACTGAGCTAAATTCCCAGCCCTCTTTGTCATTTTAAGACATAGGTTTTGGTCTTGCTTTTTTAGTCCATCTTTCAATTTTGATATTTTTATTGAAGTTTCTATTCTGTTCAATAGTGTAATGAATGATGCACTGAGATGTATGTGTTACTTTGCTATTTTTCTTTGGTCTTAGTTTTCTTTCTACCTTGGGTTGTGGTCATCAAATATTTTAAGCATAACACTTTAACTATTTTTGGGTAAATTTTTTGGCATTATTTTCTAATGCTATGTAGTGTATGAGCTCAATCAATTTAAAGTTAAAATTAAATTATGTCTAACAAAAGACAGGAAACTGGCAGGGCAATAATTTTTGCTTGAACTACTTATCATTTGGGTGGTCTGCTTTTGCTCTAAATAGTCACGTATTCTAAAGAAATTATAAGATATGTATGGATGTATATTTATATTATTTACATAATTCTTTAGTATTTCTTGCAGTTCACTCTTACTGGCAATGAATTTTATCAGCTTCATTTTACTGGGAATGTCTTTGTTTCATCTTCACTTAGAAGGATGGTTTTCCTGGAAACAGAATTTTGGGGTGACAGAGCTTCCCTTTTAACACTTTCCTTATGTCTCTCCGCTGTCTCTACGAAGTCCTTCATTTTTCATCCTTCCTTTCTGAGACGTGTGTCACTTTTTCCTTGCTGTTTCCAAGAACTCATCTTCATCTTTGTCTTTGTCTTGCAGAGGTTTGACTACCTTGGCTATTGATCTGAATGGATCTGTTAATGTTCTCACCATGTGTGCGGAGTTTGCCCAGGATTTCTTCAGATATTTTTTCTCTACACTGTATTTCCCTTCACTTTTTCTGAGGTTCTAATTACCCGGTGTCAGACCCTGTGATATTATCTCAAATGTCTCTGAACCATTTAAATTTTTCTTCAATCATTTTTTTTTATCAATGTCTCAATGAACAGTTTTTATTGATCTATATTTGGGTCTACTGATTCTCTTTCTGGTCTCTCCAATCTATAGTTGAACCCACCTGGTAATTTTTTTCATTTTTTAATTTTATGATACTGCATTTTTTTCTGCTTCAGAACTACTATCCTTTTTTATAGTTTTTATTTCTCGGTTGAAATTCTCTACCTCATGAATCCACAACATTTTCCTGGAATAATTGGGCTAATTTATGATAGCTATAAGTAATGATGACTGTATAGCTTTGAGCCCCTTGCTAAATCCAACAGGAAGGCTGACTCCAGGTTGGTTTCTATGCCTGATGCTCCTGTTCACTTTCCTGGTCTTCGTATGTATGACACATTTTGGGAAGGCTTGCCATTGTGAGTGTATGTTGTGAATGCTCTGAAACATCTTTTACACTTCCAAGGGTCATGGGTTTTTGCAGCCGGCTGCTAATGTGCCTGCTTTCCAGTGTTTCCTCTCAGGTGAGCAGCAGGTGAGGGCTCTGCAGAGGGTGTTGTTGCTGCTGCTCTTGCTTTGGCCCCCAGCTGTGCAGTTTTCTGGCCCCCTGTGCTAATCCTACAGCTGTGCTGCTTGCTCAGCGATCCATGGGGCAGTATTTTCACTCAGATACTGGAACTCTCAGGGTGCCTTCTTCTGAGACTGCCCCTGCATTTCAGGGCACTTCCTCCTCCTCCAATGCCCACAGCTCCCCTCACTGCATGGACCACACACAGGCTGCAGAGTGAGCTTGGCCAGAGGCCAAGATTCCTGCAAACACTGTGGGGGAGTCCTGCATCTGCCTCCCCCCCACCCCGAGCTCCTGTGTTGCTTGGTGGTCAGCCAGGGATTTGGGCAAAGTTTAACTCAGACTTCTCATTTCAGCCCATCTGTGCACCCCGCTCACAAATGTTCCTCTTGCATTGCAGCTGTTCGGTTGCTCTGCAGGCAGTCATCTGCACCAGAGCCGAGGAGAGCGGGGCTTCTCTGTCAGCACAGGTGGGGCTTATGGAGCAGCCTCGGGCACGAAGCCACAGAACTGCAGCTCTTTGCAGATGCAGCAGCACCCACTCAGAGGTAAACTCTTCTGTGTTTTCCTGCTTTTGTTCACTTTTCAGTGCCTTCAAACAGCTGCTCTCGAAAACCGCATTTGCATTATACAGTTGTCGCCCCAGCTCTGTTGCCAGCGATTCCTTCCCAGGCTCCAACATTCCACTAGGCTTGGGGTTTTGTTTGCCTTCTCATCCTTTAGTATTTCCCAGGGTGAGTGTTTCTATTTTTGTTTTTCCAAAAGTATCTTTATTTTACCCTCATTTAAAAAACACCTCTTTGCTAGACATAGAAGTTTTAATTGGAAAGGAGTGAGTTTTCTCCCCCAGAACTTCCAAGGTATGCAGCTGCCATCTGGCTTCCATGGCACCCCGGTCCCTGCCCATGGTCGCATGTCCAGCCTCCATCCGGGAGTCTGCAGCCTGGGCTGGGCTCCATGCTGCGCCCTCAGCAGGCAGTGTGGGTGGGAACTGGCAAGCTGGGGAGGTGGAGCGCTGGCTCTTTCCTTTGGCCCCCTGAAGCACTGCCCAGGCTGGTGCACAGGTTCTGGGTGAGAGGGCATCAGTGGTGGGATCTCTGATGGTGATTCTCTCCATGAGTGTTTTGTGTGGCGTGCAGTGTAGTGTGTGTGCTATGTGTGTGTATGTGTGTGGTATCGAACTGTATACGTGATATGTAGTGTAGTGTGTGCATGTGAGTGTGTGTGGGACCTCACAGTACTCAAATCCACTCTCAAAGCCTGTTTCCAGTGTCCCTCCCCCATGTCACTGTCCAGAGTCCCCACCATCCCCCATGACCTCTGGACTCTGCTCACACAGACAGGTTGACCTTGGCTTCTGTCCAATTCCAAGGCACTGGTCCTGGGTGCTGGGCACTTGGCCAGCAGGGCCCATGAGCACCTCGTCCTGTGCCATCTCACCTGCCCCTGGCTGGTGCCTGGCTTGGCCACCCTCTCAGGATGGGACTCCTCCTCTTTGAATCCCTCTCACTTTGCCAAGCTGGCTGTAGCCTTGTGGATTCAGGCAGTGAGCAGAGCCTGGCAGGAGATGGCTCGAAGACCCCTGGCTTCCCTCTTGTCACCTGAGCTATCCCAAGCATCTCCACCAAGGCGCCACAGCAACACAGACCCACTCCCTGCACCCACATTAGCCCAGTGCGCAGGGAGGTGCAGTCCAGGCAGCCCCAAGTCCTGGAGATGCTGAGTAGGGTTATGCAGAGGTTCACCTAGGACCCGAGCATCCTGCACTGGGGCCCCAACTGGGGGGCACTGCTGCAGGGTACGTGGGTGCAGATGCTGGTGACCACACAGAGGCTTGAGAGAGAGAGAGAGAGAGGACACTGGTGTGGATGGATCTGGAGCTCCAAATGACCTCCAACATGTGCCAAGGGCAGATAGGTTCAAGTCTCCACCTCCGTAGACTATCATGCTGTGGTGGGAGGTTACCCCCAAAATCTTTGAGATTCCAACAACAATGCTTTACTCCTCCCCCTTTCCCACCCCTGGAAGGTGGCCGGCTGGGCTCTGCTGACCCATAGGCCCCCTACCTTCTGGGACTAGGCTGAACTGCTCCCATCTGGGACAAGCCCGTCTTGTGGCAGTAGGGAAACAACAAACCAAAATAGTGGTCTGACTCGATGGCCTTTAGAACCTTTGCTCAGTCATCAAAGTCACCAACACACATGATTCATGGGTCAGGAAGCTCCACAGCCGAGCCCTAGGCCTACCAGGCAGAAGGTGGGTCCGCTACCCAGAAGAGTGGTGTTCTAGTGACAGCAATGTCACTGTCACTGCCTCTTCAATCCAGCATACAGCTGGGTCCAGAGCTGGGAAGGGCTACGGGGTGGGCTGATCTGTCCAGGGGATATCATTGAACGTCCAAGTGGCAGAGGTCACTAAGGTGTAATGGGGGGTGGACAGCCTGGGAAACAGATAGGTGAGAAGGGTGAATTGTAGCCAAAACATAGGCACCCCGCACCTTCTAAGTCTCCTTCAACAGTGACACGATATGGTGCCAACAAGAAGGGGAAACTGTCTTGATCACTTTTCTGTCACTGGCACACAGTGCCTGAAACCCACAACTTACAGGGCGGAAGTTGATTTGGCTCTTGTTTTCAGTCCAGGGTCAGCTAGCTCCCATGCAAGAAGCCTGGTGAAGGAAGGGTGTTCACATCATGGCAGCCAGGAAGCAGAGGGAGCAAGAAGGGGCTGGGGACAGACATCTGCCATCCATCCAGGGTCCACCTCCAACCAGGCCACATCTCCCAAGAGCAGGGCAGCCCTGAAGTGAACGGATGAACCCACCAATGAGGATGGCACCCTGTGACCCAGCAGTCTCCCTCCACTTTTCTGAGACTTTGGAGCCACTTGAGATCTGAGCCCTAACAAAAACAAGCAGGGAAACACCACAGGTGACAGGTGCATTGAGAGAGGCCTAGGCCAGGCGATCTGGAGGTTCTCCATCCAAAATAGACTCTACCTGGCTACTTCTGCACAGATCTGGGCAGCTTCCAGAGCCCCCGGTGCCAGGAAAGCCCATGGTCCTATTCCTCTCCAACCCTGTCCCAGCCCTTGGTGACACAGGTCACACCTGGGCCAACGCCCAGGGACCGTGTGGAAGGGGATCGTCTGTGGCACAGGTCCCCTGGGCAGCCAGAGGTGGCACTCCCATCACTTTGCTGGACTGGCCCTGAGGTTGGTTTCTGGTACACCCAATATGGTGTGTCCTGTCCTTTCTAGAGGACCACGCAGACATTCATGTGGCAATGGCACACGCTTGTGGTCAGAAAGCATTTGCTGCCTTAACTCAGACTGCAGCCTCTGTGTGCCCACTTACTGGGAGTTTCTCCTCACTGTGAGAGTCAGGGCAAATCCAGGACCCCCACCCCCAACCTCCAGACATGAGTCACAGGGCACCACGTGATGGCACAGGCCTATTGCCCATGGTGTTGATGCCACTGTCCTCGGCTGAGGCTACAAGGCAGGCTTCCTATCACAGCAGGCCCCTGTCAGTTCCTCCAGCAACCCTAGCCAGTCCTGGCTCAGGGCTTTGGCACTTATGGCATCTCCTCCAGAAATACCCCTCCCCAGACAGGCCCAGTGGTCCTCCCTCCAGCGCCTCCTGCCCTTGCTGGTGGAGGGCCTCCTGATTGCCTTATGTCCATAGCACTGCCACTGCCCTCCCTAGGCAGCTCATGCTTCCTCAGCAGGGGTCAGGCCAGGAGGATTTGAACACAGGGGATTATCAGTGAGCAGCCCCAGCTGATAAATGTGAGCTGCACCTGTCCCCAGTCTCTCGGAGCAGCAGCAGCAGCGAGGCCTCTCCTGGGCAGTGAGCCTGCCAGTCAAGAGCGTCTCTTCTGAGCCCCTGAACTGTGTTGCCAGTGTCTGGGAACTTAGGGGCATGGGTGTGGCCTTGTGGAAGGTGTGGTCCACAGAGGGACACTTGGGTCCCGGGACCGGGCTTCTAGTCTGGTGTCATTTCCTGGCTCCAGCCAGGCGAGGGGCTCAGGTGGTTGTCACACTGTGCCCAGTGGCGGGGTTCTGGCTGACCCACCCCTGGCTGAGGGTGCTTCCCGGGTTCCAGCTGCTCATCTCTGAATGCAGGCTGGGATGATACCTCCCACCTGCGGCAGCTCTGTCCCGGTTACCTGGCCGCTGACCTATGGCCATGGTCACTCCACTGGCACCCGCACTCCCACTCTGGGAGGCCACAGAGTTTCCGGGGAGCCCAACTTCACGTCTGCAGTGATTTACTCTGTGTCACTGCTGCATCCCTGGGAGAGTCCCTAGGAGAGAGCCCTAGGGGCCTCACCTGTCCTGCCACAGCCATCTACCTGCCCTGCACATTCAGACACACCATTCCTCCCGCCGCTTCCCTCTCTTCCCACCTATCCCAGCTGCAAAGACAGCAGGGCCCATGCAAGGTTCCCAGGACAGCCTAGCCCATGTGCCTCCACCCGACCCATCTGGCCCAACCTTCCAGGCCTGTCCAGTGGGCCCACCTGAGCCCAGGGGGCTGCCACACTCCAGGATAGGCACAGTGTCCTTGAGTGTGGAGCAGCAGCTGCCTCCCAAGGGCAAGAGCTCTGCCTGGGCAGCACCAGGTAAAGTTCCCATGCAGGTCGGGACTCACCCATACGGAAATGCACACACACACAGGCACAGACCCACAGCACTGATTCCCAGGCAGACACACTCAGAGACACAGACACAGAGAGGCACACACATGGATACACACACAGGCACGCGCGTGGCCACGTGCATAGACACCCTTTCAGGCTGGTGTGGGAAATGAGGATGCCCTCACACAGCCTGTCCAGCAAGATTCTACTATCAGGTAGCCCCACTCAGTGGCTCCGAGGGATTCTTGGGCCCTCCTGACCTGGGGCTTCCTGCTTTCCTGGGCCTGGAGTGGCTGTGGTCCGATGCCCTCTTGAGTCTCTAGGATAATGTGTGCAAACCATGCTGGCCGGAAACAGCTCCACTGGGATAATCATGATCACATCTTTCCTCACAGCATAGCAGCCCCAACACCCACATCCACAAGCCACTCCCACTGAGGCCCCCAGCGGGGTTGGGGCCGGGGCTGCAGAAAGAAGCGAGAGCCTCTGTGCTGGGCTGTGGCTCTCAGGCCCGTGGGCACTCATGAGCGAGCACTGCCGGAAGGTGGTTTCCCAGGATGGCTCTCCTCTCCCGTTGCCCCCAGGACCTTCTGAGTCCCCGGGACACCCAGCCAGGCCCTCCTGTATCCTTGTGGTTTCCTCATGGGGAAGGACTGGGGTCCTTCCACTCCAGTGCAGGGCCACGCCCCTGAGGAAGCCAGAGTGCACCAGAGGCTCACAGTAGGCACTGTCCTCTTGGCCACGCTCTGGTCAGGCCCAGGATGTGACCTTGCACTGAATCTCGCTCACTGGGGTAGGAAGAGTCCCCATCAGCTCTTCTCACTGCTCCTCAGTGGTTGTGTCTTTTCATCCCTTGTCCCTGGCCTTGACACCTGTCACCAGAGTCTCACAGAAAGGTCTCCTCA